TGCGTTCAACACAGTGCTATTCTGCAGCACATGGGGGTGCTGTAGGTCCCAATGGTCTCCTTGGCCGCAGACGGTCTGTTTGCCGGCCACCTTCGCCAGTGTTTTCGACGGGCTTCTTCACCTCCTCTCAGCTCGCTAACAACACGGCTTCTCCTTCCTTGATCACACAGTTCCAGTCTCCTTTTCAAACTCACCCCACTCTTCTCCTAATGAACACAAGGAAACAAACAGCACATTTCCTTGGCCCCTGGCCCGCTCCTTCCTTCATTCGCCCGTCCCTCTAGTCTTTGCAGGCAAGCTTCTTGAAAAACACGCTCCTCTTTGTTGCCTCTCCACCACCTGCCTGACTGTCCGCCCCTCCCTGCTGCAGCTGATCCGCAGACAGTCCAGTGCTCGACTTTCCTGACCCGCAGTGGTGGTTAATATTTCTTCCTTTCTTCCTTCTGGAAACAAGGTCTCCCTGAGGTTTCCCAGACACAACCCTCAGCTTTAAAATGTTTTTTATCCCCATCTGCTTCCACATGGCTGATTCGTGGCTGTTCATGGCTGCTGGCTTTTTCATTCGTATTCCACCCAGGGTCCCTGGTGGCGTACGGTTTATACATTGGCTGCAATCCACAAGGTCAGAAGTTTGAAACCACCAGCTGCTTCTTGGGAAAAGGTTGAGGCTTTCTACTCCTATACTTCTTTCTATTCCTATTTCTACCTCCCGTGAAATAAATATTTTATATGGTAAAAAAATATATGGTTTTATAAACCAAGACTCATCTATCTGGTCACTCAGCTGACAAGTTTTGAATTATATTTATTGAAACATAACTGTGCTCTTAGCTTACACCTCAATTTTATTTCGTGCTGTTTTCCATTTTCATGCCTTGTAAAGAACTTGTAAAGATTGTGATTAAATTCCAGATAAAATCTTATAATGCCAATGAAAAAGAAAAAAAAAAGAATTAGAGTTGTTGCATAGGGAGCTTTGAGTTTAGGTCAATGGTGATAGAATAATTTGAAAAAGGAAATCAATAGAGGCTGTAGTCTATGACCCTGAATTATACAAGTAGAAATTGTAGAATTGGAGAATATTCTATTGCATGTATATTTTTTCCACAATTAGAAAAAATATATATAATTGATTGAATAATGATGACTACAAGGAAGAAGAAAATGTTCTAGAATTGAATATGATGACAATTGTACATTCTTAATACGACTGAATCATTCAATTGTATGAAGTGCTAACAAAACTTAAAAAAAAAAAATTACAGCTCTGGAAACCCCCAGGGCAGCCCTGCTCTGTCCGACAGGGTCACTGTGAGTCAGCATTAACTTGATGGCGGTGAGCTTGGTGTTTTGGTTTGGATGCTCCTCCCTGCCAGCACCCCCCTCTGCCCCCCCACCCTTCCCATGGAGGTAGGACAGTGGGGACCACTAGCATCACCTCTCCAGCCAAAGCTGCTGCTCTGAGTACCAGACGAGTGTGTCTGACCCTCTCCCTTCCAGAGCCCCTCATCCTGGTGACCCAGTTTACTTGCTAGCAGTAGTGGTTGTCAAGATGCCTCCAACGCATGGCAGCCCCTCCTGCAGCGGAGTGAGACCGTGCAGGCGTCATGACTTTGGGGATGTTTGTTCTTCATCCAGAACTGTATTGGGCAGTGAGTGTTCTCTTGGGACCAATAGGGTGTTCACTGATTATTTTCTGGAAGATCAACCAGGCCTTCCTTCTCAACTAGCCGAGGCTAGAGCTCTGCTGAACTCTGCCCACCATGAGTGAGCTGGTGGTATTTGAAATACGCTAGTATAGCGTCCGTCTTCATAGCAACGTGCAAGCCACCACAGCACAGCCACCCGAGAGACCGCGGTGAGCCACGTGCACCTTACACCCATGTCTTGGAGCCCCTCGGTCCGGGTCCTGTGGTCCCTGCACAGGAGCCAGTGGCAGGAGCCACAGCGGCACTCCGGCCCTTGTTTCCATTCAGCCTCCAGCCCGGACCATCCATGCCTCTCTCCGGTGTTTTATTACTTTCTTAACCCTGCCGCTTCCTCCACAAACCAATTTTTGCACTCTTTGTCCCGAATGCCATTTGTTATCTCATGCCTGGACTCTGGTGATAGATTAGCCTGCACCCCTTCAGCCCCCGTCTGATTTTGTAGGCAAACAGGGGAACCTATCACAATGATTGACATAGAACGTGCCCCCCCACCCCCCTGGGGACGAACAATAGAGAAGTGGGTGAAGGGAGACCGGGCAGTGTAAGACATGAAAAGTGTCATAATTTATAAATTATCAAAGTTGGGGGGGGGGAGATGGGCTGATAGCAAGGGCTCAAGTAGAAAAATGTTTTGAAAATGATGGCAACGTATGTACAAATGTGTTTTAACACAGTGGATGTATGTATGGATTGTGGTAAGAGCTGTAAGATCCCCCAATAAAATGATATGAAAGAAAGAAAGAAAAACGTGAGTCTCGCGGTGTCCGGCCCCACACTTGGCCCACTCTCCGTTGCTCTTGGGGTCTGGACAAGGCCTCTTGGCTTGCAGAGTGGCTTGGCGCCGTGGTGAGTGCTGGTAGGGTCTAGCTCCGCTGCCGGTACCCACCAGCCTCGCTCTGTGACCACAGTGGCCCTTTTCTCACCTCAGCCATCTGGATGAGTGTTCCTGCATGCCTTTCTATCTTAGCACGATGTCATTACTTTCAGGGACGCTTCCCCCTAACTGAGGAGCCTTTATCATGGCCCCATCACCACCACCGTCACTCAGAGCTTTCCAGGACTCCGTTAGTCAGCTGTGTCTAACGACATGTTCACTTCTGTGAGGACAGCTGTCTGGCTGCCGTTTGCTTCCCCAGTCAACAGGAGGCTCCCCGAGTCAGGACCTGTGTTTGTTCTCACCCTGGTGGTCCTAAGGAGCCCTCATGGAGGAGTGGGGTACACAGGGTCAGCAGTTCTAACCTGCCAGCCACTCCTGAGGAAGAGAGACGAGACTCTCTACTCCTGTGAAGATTTCCAACCCCAGAAACTGAAAGGAGCAGGTCTTTGGTGGCACGAGGTTGGGGGTGGGGGGGTTCCTATGCATAACAGGGTAGGCCCAAGTCATGTTATTGTTGCAAGAATCAATGAACTTGAGAACGGGGTTGAGGTCCAGCTCAAGCAGCTGTTTATTGTCTGCATCTCAGTTTTCCCATCTGACACATGGAGATATTTTGCACCTTTCTCTGTCTGTGAGGACTGTTGGGAGGAAGGAAAGAATTGCTATCATCAACGATTAGTGTCTCCAGTTACAAGATTGCCCGAGTGGAGTGTCAGGAGCAAGTAGGCTGTTAACTTACAGGCTCAGAGCTCAAATCCCCCAGTCGCTCCATGCGAGAAAGATGAGGCTGTCTGCCTCTGATAAGATTCACATCCTGGGAAACTGTTGAGGGGTCTCGGTGGGTCGCAGTAGACTCAATGGCAGTGGGCTTGGTTTGGGGGGTATTGTCAAGTTGAAGCTGGGGTATAACACTGAGTCAATTCCAACTCCTAGCAACTCAAGAGGACAAAACGAAAGTGCTCCTCAGGATCCAAGACTATAAATCTTCACAGAAGCAGCTTAAGGCCACTAGAGCCATTTCCCCTCCCTGATGGAAAAGTGATCGAGAATGGAGAATATAGCAGTGAGACTTTTAAATGATGATGAATCCCTAATTAATTAGCCATTTAGAGTACAGTATTTTCATTATGAGAATTGTAAGCGCTTGTGTAAGGTAATTTGGATAATGTAGAAAGCAGACAAAAAGAAGGAACCCCCCACCAGCATCCCAAATCCAAGTTCCCATATAAATATATTGATCAGGGACATGTGACATATTATGTGCATAATTTTAAAAAGTGGAATTGCTATTCCCAAGGTTATCTACATAAACACCTTTTACTCTTTTGATAAATATTCCCCCATTATTGTCCAGAAAAAGTTGCATGCACTCAGACATCCACCAACAGAGCAGAATGCGCGTTTCTCAGCACCTTTGCCAGCTTTGTGCATGCACACACACACACACACAAATGCACACATGCACACGTGCACACCTATGCACACACACTCGAGTGTAAATTTAATGGGTGAGGATGGCATTTTGTTGTGTTGGTTTGCATATCCAGGGGTAAATTTCTCCTGAATCTAAGGTCGTTTTCATGTTAGCCAGGGACCATTTCCATCATGAATGACCTGTTTGTGTTCTTTCTGGTCAGTTTTCTATAGGGATGGCCTCTCTTTTTCATATTACTGTAGAAACCCCTTTTTACAGTCAACATACCAGCCAACCTGGCTTTGTGAAATATGCAAATATGTGTGACAGGAGAAGCCCTTCAAATGCACACAAGTTCCAAGTTAAGGTAGTTTAAAGAAAACGTGATGTGGTGGGGGGGGGGGGGGGGCAAGGTGGGTCATGGTTCTGGTTATGTCACATGTCCCTGATCAAGGTGACCCCATGTGGGTAATTGCGCTGGTCCAAAGGGGTTCCAAGACGCCTTTCCAGCCAGCCTCATGACCTGTTGTCAACAGGGCGTGACATGGTTCATTTGCATTGTGTTACTAAGGACACCTGATTGCTCTTGTTTTTGCAAAACAAGACGTGTTGCCATCCAGCAGGCTGTAGCTCCTGGGACTCTGGAACAGAGTGGAACTGCCCCACACCTTTCTGAGGCAGTGGTCTTTGTGAAAACAGACTGCCGCACTTCCCCGCACAGAACCATGGGGGTGAGGAACTGCCGACTTTAGGTTAGCAACCACGTGCTTAACCGCTGTGTCACTAGGACTTCGAAATAGAGTTAGCAAATTAGGATCAGCTCTGCGGAAGTTGTAGGCGATGTTCGCTATGACATTCTAGAGGAAAAAAGAAACAGATGGCCTCAAAATTCTGAAAAGAATTTTTTGGATTTTAAACAGATTCAAAGAAAGTCTGAGAATAGTTGGCATTTTTTCATTAAGAACTTATGTCTCGATCTTTCTCTTTTTGTCCCTTTTAGGTATGGCTGGATCTCTTAAAGCCGATTGTGAAGCAAATCAGAAGTAAGTATATATCATCCTTAATCGTCATGGTCATGTTGTGCGTAGAACCAGATGTTTTCGTGTTTGACATCGTTTGCTCTGAGGCATCAAGTGCTGTGCGTCCAGCCTCCCTTTTCAGCCCTTGATTGCTTCCCATCCGCAGCTAATGCATGCATTCTGACAGTGTGTTTTCTGCGATCTGAATATGTAACAATTTGGCAATCAAAACCTCCCTTGGAAAATCAAATACCATTTTGATGAATAACTTAAACATGTGATGAAGCTCCAGAGTCAGCTGGCATGTTTTGGTGAGACCAGTGTCTCTTGCTGTCATTTCTGAACGAGAGCGGGAGAACTCTCTTCAAAGCCGGTGACACCAGAAGGCAGGTGTTGCTTGGAAAAGCCAGTTGCCCAGATTGTATGCGCTCATTTCCCATCGTGGCAAACAGAGCCCCGGAGAGGTGGCGATGCACACCTCACTTGTGTACCAGAGAGAAATCTTCCTTTGCGCTCATTTTAAAGTTGTTCCAGTTTTTACTATTTTCAGCTTTTCTGTTGAGAGCTTTCTGTGTTTTAGGTGGTCATTGTTGTTGGGTTTTCCTTGTTTCTTGTTTTTTTTATTTTATGATTTACTGTATCTGAAGTCCAGGATAGGTAAATCTATGGACACAGTAATTAGATTCATAATGACCGAAGGGCGTGATAGGGAAGGTTGGGGGGCAATGGCGAGCCACCAACATTGACTGTAAGAAAGAAGAACCTGTTGTAAAATGGGTTGTGGCAGCGCAGGCACAGCTCTTGTTGATCTGATCTAAATTGCCCGAGATGTCAATTATCTGCCCAGTTAAAAAGAGTCCCCCGGGGAGAGGTGTGGCAGTCTGCTGCACCAGAGAACACAGCTCTGTTGCCGTTCTGCTCTGGCCATGAGGGTCCCTGCAAGTCACAAGTGAATGGGTGGCAGGCGGCGTCCTCTCTCGGTAGAAGAGAGGAGCAAGGCATGCTGGTGGCCCAATGAGTAAGGTTGGCGGCTCGAGACCACCAGCTCCTCTGTGGGTGAGACGCGTGGCCGTCTTTTTCTGTCGTGCTTATCGCCTTGGAAACCCTCACGGGCAGCTCTACTCAGTCACAGAGGGTCTGTAGGAGTTGGAATCTAGTCAGTCACAAGAGGCGTAGGAGGAAAGAGCCTGGGCCTGGTGTAAGCATGGGAGCCACAGATAGCCGAAAGTTCAGATCCAGCCAAGAGCTCTAGTCTGTAACACAGAAGGTTGCCTGAGTTAGAATTCCACTCAATGGCAGCTACCCAAATCAAAGTCACTGGCCATATCAGACAGGGCAGAGCTGCTCCCTGTGGGTTCCTAGCACTGTAACTCTCTCCGGAAGTAGAAGGTCTCCTCTTTTTCCCCCCCGGAGCTCCTGGTACTTTTGAACTGCTGAGCTTGTGGTTAGCAGCCCAGCACATAAATGCTGTGCCACCAGGCTCCTTAATGCTGTGCCACCAGGGAGGGGAGGAGAGGCGAGAAGTCCAGAGGAGAGTTGAGGAGTTGGGTACCTGGCCGGTGCAAACAATTAAGCAAGGTACCTCCCAAGGAAGGCCTACTGGTATTGTTCTGCGATGCCAGCCAGCAAAGCATGGTTCTTTCTTGACAGAGGTGCAATCAGCAGGAGTCAGGATACGCAGGAGAGCATCCAGCTTGGGCTTCGTCAGGAGAGGAATTACCAGTCATGGTTAAGTTGGTCCTGACTCATGTGACCCCCTTGTAGAACTTCCAGCAGACCGCCGGGTCTTTCTTCTGAGGCCGCTCGGGGTGGACTTGAACCTCCGCCCTTTCAGTGAGCAGCTGGGCTCAACAGTTGACGTGACCCAAGAACTTGAAGAGCATGGAGCGCAAACGGCTGGCAGGCTAGATTTTATGTCTGTGTGGAAAAATCCCAACGGGGCCACTTACCAGCATTTATATGAATGTAATGAACGTGCAGTGTAGTGTTTGAATGGCTTTGGTGCCATTGAAATTGATGTTGATCTTCTTTCATTTAAATTAATTATCGAGGCTGAAAGTGAAAAGACCGCCATTTCTTCAGCACTCACAAGGTGTTCTCAGAGTGACTGGGGGTGGGGGTGGGGGATTAAACATGTGGGCACACACCGCTGAGAGAAGCGTCCAGGCCTGGTGGGCTGGCCCTGGGATGATTCATGAGACCAGCAAGTGGTGCAGAGCTATCTCTTTGGCGCAGACCCCGAAGACAGCAGCTATTGTTGGCCCAGTCAGAATTGGACCGGCTGTGTTATCTTTTCCGTCTCTTCCATGTGCTTTCACTAGACCTGTGCGACAAAGCTGTCTTTTTGCATTTCGTGCAACCGTCTTCCTAGCTTCGCGTTGTCTGGGCTCTGAGCAGCCTCATTAAAATTCGGCGTTGGTGCACACTGCTGAAAGGAACGAGAACAGCTCTTCCTGCGGTGTCGGGGAGGCTCCTGTAACTCCAGGCGGTCCAGGACTCTGCTCATCTTTACAGTCACCGGGGAAAAGCAGCTGGGATCCTCTTCGCCTCAGTAGCTCCATGTCTTGTTTTCCCCCCGACTTTTGTGTACACTGCCAACACTTCGCCTTCCAATGTCTTTTATTTTGTATCTTTCTAAATTTAAATGTGTCATCCTGGAAAGTATCCACATTTTGGCGATCGTGGAAAAATCGAACAAGAAGACATTGTCTGTTTTTGTTGTTCTGCGTCTCAGATGTTGCTGTTGTTGGGTCCCTTTGAGTCAGTTCCAACCAATAGTGGCCCCAGATGATGGAGAAGAGCAGCCCCGCGGGCTTTCTAGGCCCTTGACCCGCTAACCACAAGATTCGTGGTTAGAGCCCACCAGCCACTCCACAGAAGAAAGAAAGCTATCCACCCCTGTAAAGATTTACACTCCCAGAAAGCTTATAACGGGTCTCTGTGAGTGGGGTGGGTGGGCTGGCATGGTTACAGAAGGAGACCACCAGGACTTTCTTCCGCAGAGCCATTGAATGGGTCTGGACCCCTAACCTTGTGGTTAGCAGCCATGTGCCTAACCATTGTGCCAGCTGGGCTCCTTGCAGCCCTTGTGCCAGCCCTGGCAGCCCATTGCCACTGAGCCAGCAATGACTCAGACGGTACCAAGGGTTTTGAGATTGGTACTTCTTTATGGGAGTCAACAACCTCGTTTTTCTCCTAGGGAGCAGCTGGTGGGTTTGAATCACTGGCCTTGCGATGACCAGCTCAATGCCTAACCACAGCACTTCTTCATAATACTTTATATTCCACAGACTGTGACAGGGATGACTTGATTACCTAATGAGCAAGGGAAGCACGGGCTTCCTTGGATTTATTTACCAGTCAGTGGTGAATGGTTTCACGTGTTTTTAGCCCGTCACTAGTGGCGAAGCCATTCACCACAGGTTAATCAAGAAGCCCAAGTAAGCCCGTGCTTCCCTGGCTGACTGGGTAACCCGCCCTTGGAATGTGACCTCTTTGCCCCATGACAAAAGCGGCTGACCACATTTCGTGCTCATTTTATTTTCTAGTGGGTTTCACAAATGACCATTGCTATTTTTGATTTTCTAATCTATTTACTGCTCTGCTTTAGTTCTGAATGGAAAAGCCATTCATCTTATTGGAAGGTCCCTCCCCACCCCCACACCCCCTCTGTTCTGCTTCCTGATGTTATCTTCAACTGTGACAAGATAGTGTCTGAGACACTTATGAAAGGCTTTGGCTGGCTGTGACAAGGGCCAGGCCCTGTCTTTTGGGCTTCAGCGCCAGAGCTGATAGGAACGCCAGACGCGCAGGTGCTACATCAGCTTTGATGACTAGGTGAGCAGGTGGACCTTGAGGGTAGTTATTTTTTCAATCACAAAAATTGTATCAATTGATTTGCATTTTGATTATTGTTTTTAGTATGTTTAACCCTTATGTGCAGGCTTCAAAAAGTTAATGGAAAGATTGTATTCTCTTTCCATTCGCTTTTCCCACAAATTTATTGAAGCCCTTTTCATATTTGAATTAGAGCTGGAAATTAGATACATTTTGAGGACACAATAGTTTTTTTAAAAAAACGTAGGTCCAATTTAAGTCTCCAGAGGAAAAGGTTGAATGATACGAAAGCATGAATTAGACTTCCCAGCCAAACAAAAGGCCTAGCGAGTCCACGGTCTATCACTATGGGGGAAATCATCCTGAGAACAATCGTGTGTGCTAGGCCGCTGAGCGGCAGTTGCCCAGTGACATTGCTCAGAAGGTGGGCGGGGCTCGGAAAGAAGGTTGGACATCAACGGGAGGAAATGGTAATGGTGCTGTTCCACTGAGCGGATTGCAACTAAGGCCAGAGAACAACAAGCAAAAGTGTGGCCTATTAAGTGGAAAACGGATTCTCTCTGTAAACTTTCCCCATACCACAATAGGAAAGAGAAGAAGGTGTGAATTAGTAGTTGTAATTGGCAGGTGTACTCTTGGGAGTGCTCCTAGACTGAGAGTCATTATTTGGTCTGTAGTGTACCCTGTGAGATCTTTTGCTTTAATGACGTTTGAAACACCATTCAGTAAATACTGTGCTGCTTATTTTTCTTCCATAGGGCCAAAACATGTTGTGGTTAAGTTTGTGGTGAAATTCTTTCCGCCAGACCACACACAGCTCCAAGAAGAACTCACAAGGTTAGTAGTTTGGAAATGGGGTATTTATGGCTGTGGGATACAGAGAGAATTAATGGTGTAAGTTGATTGATAAAGCATTTTCATAATAATAGAACCAGTAACCTACTCTGGGTTTATTAATTTTATCCAGTTTTCTCTCGGCTACACTTAGAAAAATGTTGGATGGGGTGCAGGGGCAGGTGTGTGTGTGTTTGTGGGGGGGTGTACAGTAATTTCCCTGAAGCTTGGCTGAAGGCTTTACCCTGGACTTGACCTGGTAGTGACTTATGGGAACTGATGGACTTGTCACCTGCTTACTGTTTTAGTTTCTCTTATACCCATCACATCATGAGACCAATGGGGGGAGTGAATCTCTGCTGTGAAGCGGAGGCTACTCACAATGTTTCTTTGTTGCCGCCATGGATGGGTGGACTTGACAGGAGCGTAGATCATGTTTCTGGAGTGTGGCCGAGTGGGGAAGCAGGAACGTGGCTCAGGCCTGGCTTCGGTGCTGCCCCTTGAGAGCTGGGTGATTGTCTCACTCCTCGTGCCCTCTGCTACGCCCTCTGGTTAGGACGTTTGCTTTTCCAGGCATTTTAAAGATGAGCGATGGGGGGTGAGTAGTCGCATGCTAACTGAAATGCTTCAACAAGCTGCTGAAGCACTAGGAAGTTTGGAAGACAGCTACTTGACCAACTGGCTGGAAGAAATCCATATTTATACCCATTCCAAAGCAAGGGGACCCAACAAAATGCTCAAACTAGAAAACAGTATCGTCATATGATATGCAAGTAAAATTTTGCTTAAGGTCATCAATGATTGTCACAGTCCATTGACAGGGGACTCCGAGGTGCAGGCTGGATTTGGAAGAGCACCTGGCCTAAGGGCTATCATTGTCGATGTCAGATGGATCTTAGCTAATGGCAGAAACTACCAGAAAGGTGTTTACTTGTGTTTTCTTGACTGTGCCAAGGCATTTGACTTTGTGGATCACAACAAACTATGGATAATCTTGACAAGTATGGAAATTCCAGAACACTTCATTCTACTCATGGGAACTTGTTCATGCATGGATCAAGAGGCAGGTTTGTGAATCAGAACTAGGGAATACTGTGTGGTTAAAACCAGGTAAAGTGTACTCAGGGTTGTATTCATTCACAATACTTACTTCCATCTGTATGCTGACCAAATAATCAGAGAAGCTGGCTTGTTTTTCAGTGTTTTGTCCAGTTAAAGTCTCTGGGGTTGTGGACTAGGCTCTGGCTCGAAGCAACCCTATGTATAGCAGAATGAAACAGCGCCCCCTCCTGCCACATATTTGCAATCATTCGTCAGTTTGATCCCGTTGCTGAAGCCACGGTGTGGATCCATCTCGTCAAAGGCCTTCCTCCTTATCACTGCCCTCTACATTATCAAGCACGATGTCCTTTACCAGGGACTAGTCTTTCCTGAGAACATGTCTAAAGGACACGAGACGATCTCACCATCCTTGCCTCTTAGGAGCGCTCCGGCTGCACTTCGTCCCAGACAGAGCTGTTTGTTCTTTGGTCAGTCCGTGGTACTTTTCAATATTCTTTGCCAGTACCGAAGTTCAAATGCACTTGTTTTTCTTGGGTCTTCTGTATTCATTGTCCAACTTTCACACGCATATGAGGCAACTGAAAATATCATGGCTTGGGTCAGGCATACCTTAGTCCTCTAAGTTTATACACTTCTGAAAATTTTCTGTTTTAGAATTGATGGATGTACAAAATCAAAAGAGAAGAACACCGTTAGCATTTCTAAGCTGAAAGACTGGAGGGGGGGGGCTGTGTGGGGAATTCAAGCCTCAGGTTATAATATTGAAGGATCTTGGGGGCAAAATAATAAACAGTGCAGAACATCAAAAGAAAATATAAAAAATACACAGAGCCACCATACTAAAAAGTGATTGATGTTGACCCATTTCAGAAGGTAGCATTTGACCAAGAACCAATGATATGGAAGGAAGAATTCCGAGCTGCACTGAAAGCATTAGCCAAAAACAAGGCTCCAGGAATTGATGTCATGCCAATTGACATTTTGAACAAACCGATGTAGACTGGGAGGTGTTCATTCACTTTTGCCAAGAACGTTGGAAGATAGCTACCTAGTCACATTCATTCCCGTTCTCAAAGAAGTGCTCAAGCGTTGATGCCAGAGGCCAGGATAAGTCGTCGGATGCAGTGGCTGCTCTGCCGCCAAGAGGCGATGCTGCTGCTAGCCTCTCTGCAGATGCTCTGCTGCTGCTGCTGAACACGGCCCACTCGCAGCACCAGGAAGCCCAAGTATCAGCGGATCATGCTAAGACACGGGGAGGGTGCTTGGAATACGGAGAAAGCTGAGTGGACCGGAAACAATAACGAAGGGCTGGAGGAATGAGGAAGTGGCAGGCAGCTCAAGGAGCTTAACATTGAGTTTGACCTTGTCTCCAACGTCCATCCTGAATCGGTCCATCCACAGTCTGGCTGATCCTGGAGGTGCTAGAGCAGGAGTGGGTTCCCGTGGAAAGCTCCTGGTGGCTCACTGAGCATCCCTGTGGAGCCGTGATCAGCCTCAACAGGGAGAAAATGGCTCTGAATCATGGCGAAGAACAGGTGAGGAGCCCAGCTTTACTATCGCGAGATCTTCAATGACTGCAGATGCCAGGTGTGCAGTGTGCCGTGGATCAGCTGCCACGATCCCAGAGCTCAAAGAATGCTTTGGAGAGACTCCCTACCAGAGCAAAGGGACTGCCCAGAGGTGTTGAGGGGCAAAACCAACCTGAGAGCTGATCACGGACCAGCAGTAGGGCACTCTTCAAGCATCTGGGAGGCCTCTTCATCTCTCATGAAGATATCTGCAACATCACCTCCCTACTGGTGCCCCCATCCCTTTGGAACTGGATAGAAACATGCATGGGCAAACCAGGAGGAGAGCCAGGCAGCCATTAGGAACATAGAGGGTCAAGGAAAAGTGAAGCAAGCTGCAAAATGAAGTCTTTCCCGAGTGTGGTCTCTGAATAGATGCAGGAGCAAGCAGCCTGGGACATGTCATGGGCGGTGAGCGCTCTGCCGGCCCCTCCCTGTCTCTCTTTCTCGGATTTGCGTTGTCCAGAGCTAGGCTGTGGGGTAGAGTTTGTATAGGTAACTTATCTCTGCCTAAACAATGATTTTAGGGTGCCTAAGAGCTTATGTCCTAAGACTTAGGAGTTGGTTCTCCCCTGTTTGAATTACTTACCAACCTCGAAACCACTGGGCTTGATCAGGTCACGCATTTCTGAGGTGGGAGAGTAATGAGAGAGCACTGAATAGCGGTGGAGTTCAAGGCATTATCAGTCGATAAGGCACAGGGCATCAAGTTGCCCTGGCCAGGCAGTCTTTCAAGCCCAGGTTACGTCAGTGGATAGGAGATTAAAGCCCCTCAGGTCTGTATTGCTTTTTCCTTGGTTGTGTCTTAGGTAGTTTACTTCTCTTCGCTGTTCACTGAGAGTTTTGGGGGTGATGATAAAGGGGTATTAGATACTTCACTATACTGAAGTATTTATTAGCCCTTTTCTCCAGGCAAAGAGATGCTTTGATAGTTAAAATCAGAAGGCCATTGAATGGGAACGTTACAGCTAGTTCCTCTAAGCCAGTAACATAACAAAGGACCTTTAATGTCCAGGGACATCCTTTCTTGGGCATTTTGTAGCCGTCTTCTTGGCCACTAGAATCAGCAGCACAGAGACAACCAGAGCTGTGGGTGTTCTTGTTCTGTGCTTGAATCCTCGGATTCTTAAAATTGCCTTAGAAGTAAAACTCTGTGGTTGAGCGTCAAAAGAGAAAAGTGCTCCAACAAAGTGTGGGAAATATTGAATAATATCAAAATAAATTATTGAATAAATGCAGGTGAACTTTCTCTGAAGATAATCCAAAAACAACAGCAGCAGTCGTTTGATCCGGAACTTTAGGGAAATTCAAGCCAGACTCAGAAGAGGATGTGGAACAAAGGATATCCTTGTTGATATCACATGAATCTTGACTGAAAGTAAGAGAGTAAAAGAGACCGGTTTACCTGTGTCTTATCGATTCTGTGGATCACAACTAACTGTGGATAGCATTTTGAAAAATGGAAATTCCATAACACTTAATTGTGCTCCTTCTTAACTTGTACATAGGCCACACGATAGTCATTTAAACAAAACGGAGGAATAGTGTGTGGTGTAAAATCAGAAATGGTGTCAATGTTGTATCCTTTCTCCATACTTATTAAATCTGTATCCTGAGCAAATAATCCCAGAGGCTGGACTGCGTGAAGAAGAACATGTTATCGGTATTGGAGGAAGAACCATTAGCAGTCCGTATGCAATGACACCAACCATGCTTGCTGACAGCCAAGAAGACTTAAAGATCAAAGATTACAGCCTTCACTATGGATTACGCCCCAACCCAAAGGAAGAAAAAGACTCTCACCGCCGGTAGTAGCATCGTGATAAACAGAAACAACGATTAAAGTTGTCAGTTTCCTATAACTTGGCTCCACAATCGGTGCCTCTGGAGGCAGCGCTTGGGAAATCCAGTGGCACAGGGCATTGGGCACACTGCCCCACAAGACGTCGCTAACACTTGAAAGAGCAGAGAGGGCACTTTGAGCGTTAAGGTGCACCTGACCCAAGCCACCGTGTTTGCAGTAGCCTCATATGCAAATGAAGACTGGATCATAAGTAAGGAACAAAGAAGCACTGATAGATTTGGATTGTAGAATTGGGGGGAAATATTAAACTATACCATCGAGTACCAGAGGCACGAATATTCCTGTCTTCAAAGGACAGCCAGAGCAGCAAGGACAGCAGGACTTCATCGCACGTCTGTGGACGTGTCAAAAGTGAGCAGTCCCTGAGCAGGGCCCCTACTTGGTAAGGTAGAGGTTTCACCAAGAGAAAGGAAGACCTTCAGGGTGATGGGTTGAGGGAGCCTCTGCCACGTAGGCTCAACTATGGCAACAGTCGTGGGACTGGTGGAGAACCAGGCCGTGTTCACCCT